TGAAATGCTCTGAAATCTGAAATTTTGAGTGGCCACACATGCTACAAGTGAAAAATTCCACACCTGACCTCACGTGACAAGTCAGTCAAAACTCAGGCACACATACAAAATAAGGTGTAAGATCACCTTCAGGCCATGTGTAGAAGGTACATGTGAAACATAGATGAATTTTGTGCTTTATTTGTGCCCCATCCCCAAGACATCTTATTATGTGTGTGCAAATATTCCAAATCCAAACATATTCAAAATCTGAAACAGGTCTGGTCCCGAGTGTCTTGGATAAGGGATACTTCCAATGCCCACAGTGAAGAGGAGCACATTTGCAAATCTGATTTGATTTGTCACAGGAAAACTTGTGCAAATAGATCAATGTTCCTTGTTGAACCTATTCTCTACTCAAAGTTTTGATACAACTAATGCATGAAATGAGCCAGTTACTTTAGATTTTTTGGGGGGATGCCCTAACAGAGCATGCTATTATATTATTATTATAGTTTTATATTACCATAATTCTGATTACAAAGTCATAGTTTATGAAGAGGACTCCAACACTGTCTTTTGTAATTTACTTAGATAGAATTAGTACTTATGGGTAACACTAAGAGATTTGTATATGTTTATTACTGCAGTCAACTTGCTTCACTGTTAATATAGCCTTAGGTGGCTGGATTATCATCCTATGTTTTATTGAGAGAAATGAAACCCAGAAAGTTCCTCTGATTGGTCCAACCACATATAGTGAATTGAACAAGAACAATCTTGATTTTTTTTTTTTTTGCAAGTTGCGTCCTCTTAAGACCCAAACTGCATGCCTGAAGCTAATTTTGCCTAAATTCCAACGTACAGGGACTCCAACATTTACCTGCTCTGTTTTAGAGAGCAAATATCTCAGAAGACATCATATAGTTTAGATCCTACTCATAAATCAAATGATAGCAATCGCATCTGAGTCACAGTGAACAGATCTCCTCTCTGTCACAGTGCTCTCTGTCAATCACAGCCAAAAGGATGCTGTGGCGTGCGTGGGGTGGTGCCTTCAGGGTGAGACACGCCTAAGAGCCTGCGAAAATTCAGTGGCTCACACCAGGAGTGGGCAGTCTGCTACTGTGGAACGTGAAGAAGAAAGACAAGACAACACTTATCACAGGAAGAAAGCATGGGGACGGGGGGAGACCCAAATTCACGTCCAACTGTACAGCTTTGAAATAGTAGACACCAGGACATCCCTCCTTTCTAAAACACCATCGTACCTAGCGTTTCTCTCCACCCCAGCTTCTCCGGTGCATTTGTGGAATATGGCCAGAGAAAAGAAAAATGCTGACCATTCTTTTTCCCCAGGAGATTTATTTCAGGGCCCTACGCCTTCACATAGCCCCTCTCCAGCACCTCGCCCACGTGGTCCAGAGGAGCCCACAGTCCCCCTGACTTAGCAGGAAGGTTGAATGCACAGCCACAGACAGGCAGGACCTGGGCCCGAGAACAGGGGACCCCCTACTCTCCCCCCACCCCCCCTGTACTTTTGGTTTAGTCCTTGTGACCCCTCTAACAAGGAGCAAGGCACGGATAAGGCTTAATGTGAACTATCGCTGGGCAGGAACTGGTTGGTTTAAATTCCTGGGAAGGCATGAACAACTGATAACAGACCCTCCTGTGAGAGCAGGTGTCAGCATTGGGCAACTGGAAAGAACCAAGGGAGGGGCGGAGGGTTGGGGGAGATGGATGACCTTGGGATGAGGGAGAAGGCACGGTGAGGGAGAGAGACTGCAGCAGGTGGGCTTGCTGCCCGTCCTAACAAGGCCAGCCAAGGGCTCCTTCCTCACGGACAAGGAACTGAGCTGTGACTTCCAGGAGCAGAACGCATGTCTCCAGGCGGGGCATCGGCTTGAGCCAGCCATGTAGGGAGGCCAAGAACAAGACAACAAACAGCTCCCAGTGTTGCCCAGCTGGGCTCCACCCCATCGGGTCCCTCTGAGGGTCTCTCAGCTGCACGCCCACAGGATGGAATGGGCCTGGTCCCTCATCCCTGTCTCTTAGCCTGACCCTCAGGTCTCTGTACCACCGAGGGGTCCAGCTACTGAGACAGATTCACGCTGAGGGTCTGAGTTAGGAGTCAGCTGATGGAAATACAAAGAGCTAGCATTCTTACTTAGAATTCACTGCCCTAACTCTGGCCTCCTCCACCCCTCCCCTCCTCAGTCTCTACCAGGCATCCTCGGATGCCTTCCTAAACAAGCGGTCACGTCACTCTCCCCTGCTGTAAACCTTCACTCCCGGGGTTTGCCTCTTGCAGGGACCCCTAATGGGGTGCTAACATCAAAGGGGATGCTCAGGCCAAATGAGTGGGATGGAGCTGAAAATATTCAAACTTTTATTTCACTTATTTTCTTTGAGAGATAGAGAGAGAGTTAGAGATAAACAGACAGGCAGAGACAGAGAGAGAGAACCCCTCCCATTTGCTGATTCAACCCCCAAATGCCTGCAATGGCTGGGGTGCTGGGACCCGGAGCCAGGAACTCAATCCAGGTCTCCCACATGGATGGTAGGAACCCAGTCATTTGAGCCATCATTGCTACCTCCCAGCATCTGCCTTGGCAGGAAGCTGAGAGCAAATACTGAACCCAGGCACTCTGACAGAGGATACGGATAGACATCTGTAAGCACTAAGCTAAATGCCAGCCCCCAAACTTTTACTTGCATTCATTTTTTAAAAAAAATATTTATTTATTTGAAAGTCAGAGTTATAGATAGGCAGAGGCACAGAGAGAGAGAGACAGGGAGAGAAAGGTCTTCCATCCGCTGGTTCACTCCCCAGATGGCCACAATAGCCGGTGCTGTGCTGATCTGAAGCCAGGAGCCAGGAGCTTCCTCCAGGTTTCCCACAAGAGTGCAGGTCCCAAGGACTTGGACCATCTTCACCAGGCCACAGCAGAGAGTTGGATCGGAAGTGGAGCAGCCGGGACGCAAATCAGCGCCCATTTGGGATGCTGGCACTACAGGTGGCGGCTTTACCCACTTCGCCACAGCACTGGCCTCGCTGTATTCATTTTTTCATCTTAATTTTAAAAAAAGATTTATTTCAAAGGCAAAGTGACAGAGAGAGAGGGAAAGACACACACACACACAGGTCATCTGCTGGTTGACTTCCCAAATAGTCACAACAGCCAGGGATGGGCCAGGCTGAAGGCAGGAGCCCGGAGCTCCACGTGAGTGGCAATTGACCCAACCACTCAGGCCGCCTTCCACTGCTTTCTCAGGTGCATTAGCAGGGAGCTGGAGCAGAAGCAGAGCAGCAAGACTGTTGCTCTAATTTGGGGTGTAGTGTCGTAGGTGGTGGCTTAAGCAACTATGCCAAAACACAGTGTGTCTTAAATTAAAAAAAAAAAAAACCTACTGGTGATATATTTTTATAATGTAGATTATATTTATATGATTTTATATATATGGTCTTTAGAAATAAAAAGTTCTATCCATTGGGGAGGGATTTTACACTATCTGTGGGTGGGGTGCAGATCCAAGGAGTGTGGAGACCAAATTGCTCCAGCATGAAATACAAGTCCTTAGCTTGGCCGGTGAGGTCCCATCTCACTGTCTTGCTCATGTCCCCTGGCCGTCTGGCACACACTCTCCACTCGCCATGGGCTGCAGAGCCACTCAGGTTACCTGCCTCTACACTGCCTCCCTTCCCCAGCCCCAATCCCTTCCCAACCTCATCCAAACAGCGCCCCCTTTTGGGGAGCTCTTTCCACTTCTTCCACCCAGCACTTCACCTGCATCCTTTACAGGCAGTCAATCATGCTGTCTTATTATAAAGGAGCTGCCACAATGTTTTGGAAAATGCATATTACAAAGAAAAAAAACTACGTGTGGATTTCAAAATATTTTGCACCAGAATAAACTTATTTCTAAATTCCCTTTTTCCATGAACTTTTTGAAGTCCCCTTGTAGTTGTTTGTTCCCAGAGTATGTTCCAAGTTCTCTTGGGCAAATGTCAAATCCCTAGCAGACAGTAATGACTTTTTTTTTGTTTTGATTTTTGATTTTCCAATGATTGAGGCCGTTTGCTGTCATCAAACACATACTGTTTACATGTTAATTTCTCATTTTCTTTTGAGGAAAGAAGATGTAAAATTTTTCAATTGCAATATACTATTAGCACCTTCTGTGTTAGGGGAGGCCAACTACTGTGACCAGCATCAAGATATTATCCAATGGCTTGGAGAAGTCAAGGTCTCTTCCTCCCACATGGCAGTTGAATGCCAGTGATGGGGAGAAGGCTGTGCTCTGTTCCATCCAGTCATCCAGGGAGTCCAGCCTTTATCTATAGCTCTGCCACCCTCTAAGGCCCCCTAGTCCTCCACGGAATCTTCCACCAGTGGAAGAACTCAGTTACGTGGCCCCAAGCCACTGCAACAAGCTTGGGAATGAAGTCCAGTAGGCAGGAAAAGGGAACATGGTCACTGGTGGGCACTGGAAGCATCCGTCAATCCTGCACTGCAAGACACAGTAATGTATGCAACCACGACCAAACTCAGGTAAGGGAAGGTATTGGGGCCGAGGGTTGAGCCACTACTTGGAACGCCTGCATCCCATGCTGGAGGCCTGGGCTTGAGTTTCACCTCGGCTTCCAATCCAGCTTCCTGCTAATGCACACTCTGGGAAGCAGTGATGATGGCGCGAGTACTTGAGTTCCTATCATACACGGGAGACCTGGCTGGAGAAACTGGCATTTGGCTTTGGACTCTCCCAGCTCTGGGATTGTGGGCCTTTGAGAAGTTAACTAGTGGACAGAAAATCTCTCTCTCTCCCTCTCAGCAACTCTGCCTTTAAAATTAAAATAAATAAACTTTAAACAACGCAGGTGGTACCAATGCAGTGAAACTTTTCAGGCATGATGTTGAATGCTATATACGATCATTCCATCTTTGAATCACTGAATATGATTAAAAACCATAGCAACTATTCCAAATCAGCTTAAATATTATTTTTGTATTGCATTGCAGCTGAAGAAATCCCCGTGGCAGTTGATACTGGCAACTGGGTACACGAAGGCCAAGACCTCTGAATTCAGCAGGTACAGAGATCAGCAGCTCCAAAACAAATTCCACAGAGATTCCTTCTCAATCTAGAATTACACCCACCATTTAGATAATGTTTATGCTGGGCTCCAACAGGAATGCTTCAAACTGGACCAGTTGTGTTTACAAGAAGATATTACCAGGAAGGAGATACGGAGTCAGGGGGAGGACAGTCTGTGCACCATTTGCCCCAAACAGATTTGCAGTGCCACAAACAATGATGTTTGTGCAGCTGTAGACTTAACACAAGAGACAAAAAAAAAAAAAAAATAGAGTTGTGGAAAAACCTAATGACATTCTCCAAACCCTATTGGTAATTAAAAACCAAATGTGATTCCAAAATGTATTTCAGAAATGAGTTTAATTTGAAAGAAGTGAGTTTTTTAAGTGGAAAGGCAATTACAGGAAAAGACTCAAGTCAAGAAACTGGGAAAACCAGAGAGCCAGAAGGCAGGGAGCTGTCCCCGCAAAGAGCAGGCAGTCTCAGATTTAAAGCAAGAGACAGTACTGGGGGCAGGCGGCTGGGGGCTGGGAGCCGGGGGCTGAGGATCCAATGGGGAGCTGGGCAAGCACATTTCTCAGAAATGGAATCCCCAAGTCCCTGAAAAATCCTTGAAGATTCTGAGAGGTGAACATGAGGAGTCTTCCAGCAAATGAAGCAGTTTGGAATTGGGCACATCCCACACATACTACAATGAAATACATGAGGCTGATTCTCTTTATAATGAAAAGAGGCTTATTTGGCTCATCGTGTTGGAAGCTGAAAGCCAGAAAAGCCTGACACTGGCAGGAGCACACACAAGGGAGAGCTCACAGGGCAAGACAGGAAGCAAAACATGAGGATGGGCCAGGTTCACTTTTACAACCACCTGCTTGTGAGACCTAACCAGTCCCACAGAACTACATTAGTTTCTTCTGATGGTCACGTCCTCAATGACATCACTGCTTCCCTCTAGTCCCCCTAGCTCTTAACATCACTGCTGTGGGGACCAAGCTTCCAAGTCCTGAGTCTTTAAGGGACAAACCTAAATCGGCAGTGAGACACACACCTGCACGCGGGGTGGGGGTGGGGGTGTTTTGTCAAAGTGTGTTCTGTCTTCATTCATCAAACCCAGAGACAGAAATTCAGACCTAAAGGAGAGAAACGTCCGGCTGACCCCTTTGTACTACCCCCGCCCCCATGCTTATCGGGGTGTGGGCCCCACACTGTACACCCTGGGGAGGCTTCTTGTGCTCTGGCCTTTGGACTCCATGTTGCCCAGGAGGCAGGGACCACCCTGAGGTCCAGCCAGGACCTGGACTGCTGGGAAGTCTTTCCAACAAAGTCCTTTGGGGACGTCTAGTCCCATGCATTCCCCACATCCGCATCCTCTCTTCCCACCTCTGTGCTGCTGCATGGGCCTCTGAACACTCTCAGCGTCGGAGAGAGTGAGTCCGATGCTTTTCCCCAGGTGCTGGGCTGATGTATGTATGCCCCTGCCTGCCTTTTTCTATTTTAAAAAAGTATTTATTTATTTGAAAGGCCAAGTTACAGACACACACACACACACACGCACACAGATCTTCCATCCACTCATTCTCTCCCCAAATGGCCACAAAGGCAGGGGCTGGGTTGGGCCAAAGTCAGGAGTCAGGAGCCTCTTCCAGGTCTCCCCTATGGGTGCAGGGATCCAAGCACTTGGGCCATCTTCCACTGCTTTCCCAAGTGCATTAGCAGGAAGCTGGATAAGAAATGGATCAGCTGGATCTTGAACCGGAGCCCTTATGGGAACCTGCTGCACCACAACGCCAGCCCCCTGCGTTTTTCTTGAAGGCTGGGGTCAGAGTGAGCCCACAGTATCGGCAGGATTCCCAGTTCTGGCATGATAGGGCTACGGGGACATGAAGTCCCAGAAACCTCTGATGGAATCTGGGTCAGTTTCATCTAAAATTATCCCACACTTAATTATTATTCCCCATACCTTCCTAGTCACCTCCGGATTCTAAAACTATTTACAGCCGTGAAGCCTCTCGTTTTGGGAGAATTCTGAGTCTCTGAGTTTCTCAAAGCTCTTTTTTTATATTGCAGAGTGTCCGTATTAATAAAGCCTTTTAAAGAAAATCCAGTGACAACTTCTAAATAAGCACAAAACACCACAAACTGCCTTATTTGGTCCCCAAATGGAATTTAACCCATCTCTCTGCTGTGTTCTTGTAACTGTGTGTTCAGTGTGGCTCTTCTCAGCTCAGCCTTGCTTGCTTCGGAGGGGAAGGTCCAGGTCTGTCTTGTCTTTGTTTCTTCGGCTCCGCCTAGACCACAGCTTGGCACAAAGCCCGTGCTGGGCCCTGCCTGGCTCCTGACGCTTCCCTCCTCTTCCCTCCTCACTGTGCAGTCTCTCGGTCTTCAGGTGCAAGCCTGGCCGGACCTTGGGCTCTTGATACCGCAGCAAATTGGGTTCAGAATCGAATGCATTAAAAAAAAATAAGCTCCCTGAGTGCTGAGGCCCAGATTGTCTTGTTAGGGACGGGATCCCCAATGCCAGCCAAGCACCTGCTACCCCGTCAAGTCTGCATAGATGTTTCTTGAATATATGTGATGTAGGCAGGCAGACAGGATAGAATGAATTAGATTTGTGAGCTGGAAGACCTCGTCTTCACCACACCCGCTGTGTGGTCTCTGCCCCTACCTAACCCCCAACCTGTACGTCTACCTGCCTGTCAGGCTACATAACCACTCCCCTTGGGAAGTGGATCAAAGGCCTGGAACACGGTGGACCCTCCCCTTTTTGGCCCATGTTGCCCTTTGTTGCCTTTGCTGCCCGTGCCTTCGGGGTGCCAGCTCCCTGCTTGCTGCACTTAGCTGGCTCCTGGCCTGCTCTCTGCTTGGTATGGACCCCAACTTAGTCTCTAACTTTTCTTTCTCTCTTAGATAAAGCCCTCACTCTCTACCCATTTCTCTCACTAAATAAAATCCTTAAAAACTTACCACATTGCCTGGTCTATTTGAGCCAGTATTCAGCATTCTTCTCTGAATATGTGGCAAGAACCCACAGAGCTTATTAATTTGGGGAAATATTAATAAGTAAGGTCAGTTTCATAAGGAGGAATGAATTGGTGGACAGACAGATGAGCAGATGGATGGGTGGATGGGTATAGTTACGATTGCTGTGAACCCAAATCTCACCTGCTGCTCAAACTTACTGAGCTAAGGGCAACTTCACCTTCCCTACGTGCCAGCCCCCTGCGGAGCCACCTGTGTGCTGCCTCCCTGTCTACCTGATCCCTGGTGTGTTTAGCTTTGCCACCCTCAGATTTCTCACTGCTTTCTTCTGTCCCTGCAGCCTCGGTTTGCATCCTAAGGATGGCAGGGCTGCCTAACTTCTTTCCTGCTGTCATCCTTGTCTTTGGACACCGTTCATCTCCCAGAATGACCCTTGCGTCTCCCTCCCAGCACTTCCTGGGTGGCCCTGTCCATGACTCTGGCCCTTCCTCTCAGAGGTCTCATCTCTAGGACCTGCCATCCCTAACGTGCTCAGGAAATACAGATGCACTAAATTGTATATTTGGCTTCTCGTCAATGACCAGGTACAGAAGAGAGTATTTTTTTTATAGACCTGGGGTCTGATGCTCTCTGCCACACAAGGCTTAGCTTGTTCCAATCACCCCATAAATAAGGACCACTCATCTGTTATATGCCAGGCACCAGAGAGCACTCACCCCCTTAATCCCAGCATTGGTATTTCTCTTTAAAATAGGATGACTTCCCACCTTATCCTGAGCACTTATCAGCGCTTATTTCTTACTCTCTTGTTGGCGTGTTCCCCTCCTGGTCCGGTCAGCAGACAGAGCTGCGAGGTTTATGCAGTGTTGGGAGATCTGCCTGTCCGCCCTCGGGAAGCTCTGGGAAAAGGACCTTGAGCATAGGCTTTACCTGTCTGTGTTAGAACTGCCCCGGAGAGAGGTTCTCAGCGGGAGCCTCAGGGGACTCCTCCTCCATCCGTCTCCTCCTCCAGACGCTGTGTCTTTCTGTTGAGAGGCTGTGATAAGAGAGCGGCATATTTCCTTTCAGGTGAGTTCCCACGGACTGGCTGATGACGCAAGAATGGGGCCGCCGTCCGGGCACTGCCTCCTTCTGCTCGGCACCCTGGGGGTCTTCGTCCTGCAGCGCGGCACCGCGGGCCAGAAGAACAGCACCCTGATTCTCGCCCGGGAAAACGCCATTCGGAACTGCACCTGCTCCGCCGACATCCGGGACTGTGACTACAGTTTGGCCAACCTGATGTGCAGCTGCAAAACGGCCCTGCCTCTGGCGGTGGAGCGAGCCAGCTACCACGGCCACCTGACCGTCTGGTTCACGGACACGTCCGCCCTGGGCCGCCTGTTGAACTTCACGCTGGTCCAGGACCTGAAGCTCGCCCTGTGCAGCACCAACACCCTCCCCGCCGCGTACCTGGCCATCTGTGGGCTGAGGCGGCTCCGCATCAACACCGAGAGCAAGTATGCATCGGCCGAGCAGAGCTTACTGATCCGCGGCGGCGGGGACGGTGACACCGAAGGCTGGCCGTCGTGTCTGCACATCTCCTTCTTGGACGTGGCTCTCTTCAACAGGGACTCGTCCTTAAAATCATACAGTGTGGAGAACGTCACCAGCACCGCCCACGACTTCCCGGATTTCTCTTACTTTAAGACGTTCCCAGTGGCAAGCAACGCAAGCTGTGTCGTCACGGTCATTTACTAACATTGAACCATGTCCTGCCTGCACGTGAAATGTGGGGATAAGGCCATGAGATGGGGGTCCCTCCTGGAAGGCAGGAAGACTCCATGGGTATCAGTATTAACAATGGCCCTGCTTATCCAAGGGGGATGCATTTCCAAGCCCCCCAGAGGATACCAGGAAGGGCAGATAGTACCAGGACCTGTAGGTGATATACAAACATATCATTGGTAACACTTCAAATCAGGCACAGTAAGACATGAATAACCGTAACTAATGCAAAATAGAACAACTACACAGTACATTTACTGAGATAAAATTTAGGGGACTGTGGTTCTCTCTCTCTCTATATATATATAGATAGATGTATATATGTATGTATGTGTATATATATACATATATATGTGTGTATATATATCTTATTGTACTTCCATTAAAGGAAGCACTTTACAACTCCTCCTTGGCACATCCAAATTGCTAGCATCATTACTCTCGCATTTTGGGGGCTTTATGGAGTAAACCAAGAGTAATTTGAACAAAAGCACTCTGGTACCACCATAGGCAGTTTGATAACTGTGATGGGTAATGGACACAGGGTGTATAGACTGGACAAAGGGAGCATTCACACCCTGGGCAGGGTGGAAAGGAGTGCCACAAGTTATCATCATGCTACCCAGAACAGTGTGAGGTCTAAAATTTATGAACTGTTTATTTCCAGAATTTTCCATTCATTATTGTCAGATTGCCATTGACCATGGGGGACTGAAACCGTCCAAAGAGAACCAAGGGGAGAGAGAACTTCTGTTTTTATTTTATTTTCTAACTGCTTTGCCTGGAACTCCTCTGAGCAGAAAATGGTGGATCTCGGAGGTTTCGGGGGCTGCGAATTGCACACGATGTTAGTCTATCTCAGGCTGGTGTTTTCCCAATACCTTGCTGGGAACAGATATGCTGAGAAGTGGAAGTTTGGAGAGTCTGGGAGAGGGAGGGAAGACAGGCTTGAGGAGGCTGGACCTGATGGCTAACTGAGGGCACTGGGATCACAAAGACAGGGATGCAGAAGTGACCATGGGAGGATATGAAAAAAAAGGCATAAATCTCAAAATTCTGAGTGTACAGGTGGAACCCCAGGAAAAGCTCCTCCCTTTAGCACCTCTCTCCTTCCCTTCCCTTTCTGTGTGTCGTTACCCTTCATTCCACCCCATTCCCCCTGCTGCTCCCTCATCTTCCTCTTCCCTCTCCTCCTCCTTCTCTCTTTCCAGAAACTAGGACATAGTCTGGTACCATTACAATCGTATTTGCTTACTCTAAGGGGCTAGCCTGGGAACCTAATGATTGTTTATAACACCATTCCAGTCCAGCTCTCTGCTGTGGCCCGGGAGTGCAGTGGAGGATGGTCCAGGTGCTTGGGCCCTGCACTCGCATGGGAGACCAGGAGAAGCACCTGGCTCCTGGCTTCAGATCAGCGCGGTGCGCCGGCCGCAGCGGCCATTGTGGGGTGAACCAACGGAAAAGGAAGACCTTTATCTCTGTCTCTCTCTCTCTTTCACTAACTCTGCCTGTCAAAAAAAAAAAAACAAAACAAACAAACAAAAAAAAAACAAACTTAAAACTGGCTCATCATCATTGTACATACATTGTACATACAGATGCCCAATTTATCAATAAGTTGGAACATAGAGAAAGTTAAGTTGGAACATAAAGAATCTGACAATTGTGGTCAAAACCTAGAGTGCAGTGAACTTGAAACGTGATTCCATTCATGATACCGTAACACTAAGAAATACTTCTATGAGGAGATAACAGGTTGTCCTGGGTTGATGGCATTCATCAAAGATCTCATTCATCACATTATTTTCCTCTAAACCTTAGCATAGAGTAAACCGAAATAACCTGCAATTTCTACATTTGCTTAATTGGTGGGAGATTTGGCCATTCAGGCTAATTAGCATGAGTCCATAATATCAGTGTTTAAACTAGGCAAAATGAAGGCCAAAGTACGAATTTTAATAAAAAGGGATAATGACCACATTACTGACCTTGAACTTCAGAGGTAACATTAAAGTGATAGACAAAAGGCAAAGAAGGTGGAAAGAGAGGACAAGAAAAGCTAGAAAGATAAAAGTGAAAAGATAAATAACAAATATAGAGAGAGAGATATCACCAGTTACTGAAGCTGTAACAAATTGAATTTTTATGGATATTTACTAATAAAGCATCAAATTAAATATGTTAGAAATTAATGTCTATCCTTCGGATATCTTCCTTTAGTAGCTTATAATAGTTTCAAAGCTCTTTCATGTATGTTTTAATTAAGTGATTAATATGATAAATCATTGTTGATGAATAGGATTTAAATCAGTAGAAGATGAATGTTCAGGGCTAGTGTTGTGGCATAGCTGGTTAATACACCACCTGCAACACCGGCATCCCATATCCATATGAGCACCGGTTCGAGTCCTGGCTGCTCCACTTCTGATTTAACTCCTTGTTAATGGCCTGGGAAAAGCAGCAGAAGATGGCCCAAGTCCTTGGGCCCCTGCACCCACATGGGAGACTCCGAAGAAGCTCCTGACTCCTGGCTTTGGCCTGGCCCAGCCCCAGCCATTGCAGCCATCTGGGGAGTGAATCAGCAGTTGGAACATATTTTCTCTCTCTCTGTCTCTCTCTGTCTCTGTCTCTCTCTGCCTCTCTCTCTCTCTGTCTCTCCACCTTTCAAATACATCTTTAAAAAAATGAAAATTCATTTGATTATAATTTAGAGCTGTTGTTGCCAAGTTTCTGGATCTGTGGTTCAGCTTGTGCTGTTACGAGACAAGTAAAGAACAGAGAAAATCCACAGCACAGACACGGAACAAGCGGTGCTTGGCACTCAGCACAGGGTCGGAGGGCAACAGGGAGGGGCTGGGGGTCCACTGGGTGGTCCCTGGATGCACCTAGAAAGCCCGCCGTGGCCTAACTCAAGTGAAGTGTTGCCACCGGAGGGCATGGCGGGGCCAGACCAATCCCTCAAGCACACGATGAGTTCTGAGCTGGTAGGTGAAACCTCAAGTCCTCACTGTTGACATGCCATTCATTATGTTTTAAATAACAAGCTCTGGGGCAATAAACCCCAGCAGTGGCTCCCACCCGGCCTGGGGCTAGCATTACCAGTTGCTGCCTCTGGCCAGTGGCGTGCTAGTCAGAGTTTACCCCCAGCTCTCCAGAAACAGAGCAAGACACAGACACATATGTACACAATCTGTTAGACGTTTTACTGACAGGAAGAGGGTGTAACACAAAACTTACATAAGCTATGCCCACGATTAATTTTCAAAGAATGCTGTTCACTTGTCACACATTGGCTTTTTGCATGCATTTTCTGCTTCAATAAAAACTTCTAAAAAGAAAAGAAGGCATAATATAGCTAACCCTCATGTAATTATCTTTCAGAATTGACAACCAAGAACATTTTATCACACTTAAGGTTTTTGTTAGTAAGAGAAAGAAAACACTAAATTGTTTTAAATGACAAAGAAATGATATATTTTCTTCATGTTGTTGCTAACAGTACAGGCACAATACTAAGTCCCTCACAGCACAGGACCAGCCAGGAGCCATTAGGCAAAAATGACAATTTGTTTGCCTCTGAGTTGAATCAATGATTTCACTCACCTGGATCCTTATCAGCTACAGGTTGTGATTATCCTCATTATAAGAGTCTGAAAAAGCCACAGGACTTAATCTGATCACTCACAAGAGAGTAAAAAGAAGATCCCAGGATCAAAACGAAGCACTTGAACAAGAGGGAACTTCAAAATATGGGCGGAACATGGAATGTAAAAGATATGTTTGTTTTGGTGCAAAAGAATGTGAAGCCCAAACATAGTTATTTTGTAACATGTATTTTCATGAACTTTTTGAAGATCTTTTGAATGCATGGATTTGGATTTTTTGCATCCAAATAAATATATCTTTTAATTCCATGTGCCACCAACTTTTTGAAGTTTCCTTGGAGTTAGAGGCCATTTAGAAGAGATCCGTTGCAGGGGACAGCACTGTGGTATAGCGGATGCCTGCAGTGCAGGCGTTGAATATGGGCGCCAGTTTGAATCCCAGCTGCTCCACTTCTGATCCAGCTCTCTGCTGTGGCCTGGGAAAGCAGTGGAAGATGGCCCAAGTCCTTGGGCTCCTGCACCTGCATGGGAGACCCAGAAGAAGCTCCTGGCTCCTGGCTTCAGATCAGTGCAGCTCTGGCCATTGTGGCCAACTGGGGAGTGAACCAGCAGATGGAACTCTCTCTCTCTCTCTCTCTCTCTCTCTCTCTCTCTCTCTCTCTCTCTCTGCCTCTCCTTCTCTCTGTAACTCTGACTTTCAAAAAATTAATAAATAAATAATTTTTAAATGCATGGTCATTCCCGCATTTTTAAATAAAGTGTAGTTACCTCTTACTCCCTGCTTTGTATTTGATTACTGCTGTGTTAGAGTCATTAGGCAGTTTTGTGTGATTTGTATTTCTTCTGGAAAATAATTTTCTGTGGAACTTCAGAGGTATTATCGCTGGGTTGCGCATAATATTATCTCATAATTAATTTGGCCTCTTCCTTATGTCTAGTTACACCTGAAGTTATGAGGTGTGTGTGTGTTCTGTGTTATTCCCTTATCAGACTTAGATTTTTCCTTGTCATTCCTATGTTTTGGTTTTCATTTGATTATTTTATAACAGACTTATTTCAGTTTTATCCTCAAATATTCCTACTTCCCACGTGCTTGGAATTGTTTGCTCCTTTTCATCATTTCTGAAGTTGACTTATTTTGTTAATATTCTTGTAATTATAAAATCACAAAACTAGGGGCTGGCTCTATGGCATAGCAGGCTAGGCCTCTGCCTGTGGTGCCGGCATCCCATATGGGTGCCAGTTCGTGTCTGGCTGCTCCTCTTCTGATCCTGCTCTCTGCTGTGGCCTGGGAAAGCAGCGGAGGATGGCCCAGGTTCTTGGGCCCCTACAGCCTTGTGGGAGACCTGGAGGAAGCTCCTGGCTCCTGGCTTTGGATCAGCCCAGCTCCTGCCATTGTGACCATTTGGGGAGTGAACCAGCAGATGGAAGACCGCTCTCTCTGTCTCTCCCTCTCTCTCTGTCTTTAACTCTACCTCTCAAACAAAGAAACAAAATTAAAAAAAAAAATTTACAAAGTTAGTTTAATGCGATACATTATTCTGAGTATCCCTTTAACTGTATATCAACGTTTATACATAATGGCAACATTTCTACTAACTTACAGGGTTTTTAGTTGGAATGCCATCGTGGCGCAGCTGGTTGGGCCACCATTTGTAACACTGGCATATGATATGAATGCTGGCTCTAGTCTGGGCTGTGCTTCCAATCCAGCTCCCTGTTAGTGTGTGTGAGAGGGCCGTGGAAGACAGCGTGAATGCTTGTGCGCCTGCCACTTACACATCCAGGAAGACCTGGATGGAGCGCCAAGTACTAGGGCCCTAGATTTGGCCTGGCCCTGCTCTGGCCATTGCAGCTGTTTGGGGGGTGAACCACCTAATGCAAAATCTCTCTGTCTCTCCCTTTCAAAGAAATAAATAAATAAATCTTTTTTTTTTAAAGAAGAAAAGTAGTGATAACAACAAAAGATGTTTAAAAAAGAGTTTTTAGGGGTCAGTGCTGTGGCACAGTGGGTTAAGCCTCTGCCTGGGGTGCTGGAATCCCATGTGGGTTCCAGTTCAAGTCCCAGTTGCTCCACTTCTGATCCAGCTCTCTGCTGTGGCCTGGGAAAAGAGCGGAAGATGGCCCAAGTGCTTAGGCCGCTGCATTCATGTGGAAGACACGGAAGAAAATCCTGACTCCTGGCTTCAGATCAGCCCAGCTCCAGCTGTTGCAGCCATTTGGGAAGTGAACCAGTGGATGGAACACCTGTCTCTCTGTTTCCCTCTCTCTGCCTATAACTTTGCCTTTCAAATAAATAAATAGACCTTTAAAAATTTTTTAAAATAAAGTTTTTTGATAATTTACAGAGTGATGTTAAAAATTTCTTCTTTGAGTCACAGAATTATGTGATTCTTCCTTAATTCCAAGTAGTTAAGGTTGTTTTGTTATTGTTATTATTATTATATTATTATTATCAGGAAGGGTTACTCAACTTTGTGGATCTGGTTTATCACTTACCTTTTGGAGAATATTCCTGTAAAACCTCTTTTTTGGAGAATTTGTCCAGTTTTTAAACAAATTGTTGGCAGGTTAACAACTGACATTTATAAATGTTTCACTGATTAAACTCATAATTAAGTGCTCTCTGGACAGTACAAAAGTCTCTCTGTTTGAACTTACTGATTACACAAGTATACTTCTGAGAGTTACTCGGGAAAAAATGGCATTAAAAGATGAGCAGAAGGGCGGGAGTTTGGCCTGGTGGGGAGGGTGCTGGTGAAGAGGCCTGCATCCCACACTGCAGTGCCTGGGTTGGACACCTGCTTCTGGCTCCTGACTCCAGCTTCCTGCCAACGCGCCCCCCAGGAGGCAGCAGGTGACAGGGCAAGTAACTGGGCTGGCCGGAGTCTCTGGCTCCTAGCCTCAGCCAGCCTAGTTCTAGCAATTGTGGGCATTCAGGAAGAGAACCCGCAGATGGGAGCACTCTCCCCCTCTCCCCTTCTCTCTCTGTCTGCCCACTTTTCTGGCTAGCAAATAAATAAAAATTTCAAAATGATGTGGGAAAAAAATGATATGTAGATTTTGGTGCCAGAGACTTTGAAATCCATGCATTTTTTTCATAATACACATTTTCATAATTTCATAGTACACATTTTGAAGACCGTTTTTATGCGTGGATTCCAAACTTTTTGCACCAAAATAAGCATGTCTTTAATTCCATTTTCATTGAACTTTTTGTAAAAGATTTATTTATTTATTTGAAAAGCAAAGTTTCAAAGAGGCAGGGAGAGAGAGAGAGGTCTTCCATCTGCTGGTTCACTCCCCAGATGGGGACAATGGTCAGAGCTGTGCCAATCTGAAGCCAGGAGCCAGGAGCTTCTTCCCAGTCTCCTACAAGGGTGCAGGGGCCCAAGGACTTGGGCCATATTCTACTGCTTTCCTAGGCCAAAGCAGAGAGCTGGATCAGAAGTGGAGCAGCCAGGACTCAAACTGGCACCCAAATGGGACGCCGGCACTGCAGGCGGTGGCTTTACTGGCTATGCCATGGCTCCAGCCCCTTCATGAATTTTTAAAAGTATCTTCATATCATTAAAACCTCACAACCTTACCCATTTTTTGGTCAACTGATCCACATGATTCACAAAGCAGCCTATTAACATATTCCACCAGGAACAAAAAGCACGTTGATAAGATTTACTGTCCATTTGAAGGTTGTGCTTGTGAATTTAAAACAAAGCAGAAAACACTTGCTTATTAGGGATAGATACAGAGGAGGCCACAGACTGGCTCAATTACGGCCTGGGTTCTGCTGGATGGATACAACCAAGCAGGCAAGAGGTGGATGCTGTAAGGGGACAGACTGGGAGCTGGCCTTGTAAACTCCAGTGTGGAATCACAGGCAGGAAGGAGTGGGGAGAGACTGAAAAGTGATGGGTTTATTGGGCTGGGGGTGAGCAAGTGGACTGGACAGGAGGAATGAGGCAGTCACTAGAGACGATTCCCTAGAATACACAGTGCAGCAACTTGGAGAAGGCCCAAGGTGCAATCATTAAGATAGGCGGAGGTGGAGCTGCAGTACAGTTAATAGAGGTGAGGGTATAGAAGGAAAGTGCAAGGAAATCATGCAGGCATAGACTGGAGCCTCTAAGAATGAATGAGGGGATGGGAATTCCTCAAACAACTCTGGAGGCTGGCGCTGTGGTGTAGCCGCTAAAGCAGCTGCAGCACCAGCAACCCATGTGGGTGCTGCTCCACTTCCTATCCAGCTCCTTGTTAATGAGCCTGGGAAAGCAGTAGAAGATGGCCCAAGTGCCTGGGCCCCTGCACCCACGTGGGAGATCCAGAAGAAGCTCAAGGCTCCTAGCTTTGGATCAGCTCAGCTCCAGCCATTGCAGCCATCTGGGAAGTGAACCAGAGGATGGAAGATTTCTCAGTTTCTGTCTTTCCCTCTATCTCTGTAACTCTGCCTTTTGAATAAAATAAATAATCTCTCTCTCTTTTTTAAAGAGTGATTTCTTTATTTGAAAGACAGAGTTACAATGATAGAGGTGGAGGAAGGGAGGGAGGAAGAGAGAGAGAGAGAGAGCGAGTGAGCGTGCGCACTTCCAAATGCTGGTTCATTTCCCCAGGTGGCTGCAATGGCTGATGTTGGACCAGGCTGAAGCCAGGAGCCAGGAAATTCACCTGGGTTTCCTACATAGGTGACAGGAGCCCAAGCACTTGGGTCATCTTCCACAGCCTTCTTAGCTACATTAGCAGGGAGCTGGATCAGAAGTGGAGCAGTCGGGACTAGAATCAGCTGAGGCTTGACCCACAGCACCTCAACCTTGGCACCAGGCAGAACTTTTATAAATAGAAAGCTTTACTTTTGTGTGTGTGTGTGTGTGTGTGTGTGTGTGTGACAGGCAGAGTTAGACAGGGAGAGAGAGAGACAGAGAGAAAGGTCTGCCTTCCGTTGGTTCACCCCCAAATGGCCACCATGGCCAGTGCGTTGCACTGATCCGAAGCCTGGAGCCAGGTACTTATCCTGGTCTCCCATGCAGGTGCAGGGCCCAAGCACTTGGGCCATCCTCCACTGCACTCCTGGGCCATAGCAGAGAGCTGGCCTGGAAGAGGGGCAACTGGGACAGAATCCGGCGCCCCGACCGGGACTAGAACCCGGGGTGCCAGCGCCGCAAGGTGGAGGATTAGCCTAGTGAGCTGCGGCACCAGCCCAGATTTACTTTTTTAAAGTCAAATTGCAGTTTTTAACAAATCAAAGCTGCATTTGATTTTTTCTTTGTTTTAAAGATGTATTTATTTATTTAAAAGTCAGAGTTACACAAAGAGAGGCAGAGAGAGAAAGAAGTCTTTCATCTGCTGGTTCACTCCCCAGATGGCTATAATGGCTGGAGCTGCGCCAATCCGAAGCCAGGAGCCAGGAGCTTCTTCCGGGTCTCCCACATGGGTGCAGGGGCCCAAGCGCTTGGACTATCTTCTACTGCTTTCCCAAGCCATAGCAGAGAGCTGGACTGGAAGAAGAGCAACCGGGACTCAAATTGGAACCCATATGGGATGCCAGCACTGCAGGTGGAGGCTTTACCTACTCCGCCACAGAGCCGGTCCCTGATTTTTTCCTATAATAAAATTGCAATCTTACTGTGTATTTATTGTATAACTTTGCTACAGTCCAGAAAACAAGAAGCATTAATTCTTTTATCTTTTATACCCATCTAGGATATTTATAATCCTGTTTTCTTCAATAATGTGTCCACTTTTAATTGTTCTTTTCCAAGAGGACAGATAGCAATGTATTAACACTGATCCAAAACGGGTGATAAGTGAGTTCTTTTAGAAGGCATTACACTGCTGTTTCTCTTTCAGTTTTTCTTTTATTTGACAGGTAGAGTTGTAGACAGAGATAAAGAGAGACAGATCTTCCTTCTGTTGGTTCACCCCCCAAATGGCCACTATGGCCAGTGCTGCGCCGATCCGAAGCCAGGAGCCGGGTGCTTCTTCCTGGTCTCCCACATGGGTGCAGGAGCCCAAACATTTGGGCCATCCTCCACTGCCCTCCCAGGCCACAGCAGAGAGCGGGACTGGAAGAGGAGCAACAGGGACTAGAACCCCGGGGTGCTGGTGTTGCAGGTGGAGGATTAACCAAGTGAGCCACGGCGCCAGCCCTTCTCTTTCAGTTCTTAGATACCCATATAAAGTGTCCGTTGTGAATTTAACACGCATACCTTATCCATAACTACAGATTTTACCCTTTCACCTAGTAACACAGAAGATTCAAATTGCTGCACTGGATAAAATGATTTCAACTGCTCATTTTCTAGAAAATATTCAGAGAAAAGGTTTTTAATGGGGACACTCTGGACCTGTTAATTGGAATCATCTTGCAGGAAACTGTTCTGCCTCAATCCTACAAAGCCTTACACATTTTTTAGATAAAGATGTATTTATTTATTTGAAAGGCAGAGACACAAAGAGAGAAGGAGAGAAAGATAAAGAGATCTTCCACCTGCTGGTTTACTTCCCAATGGGAAGTTTCAGAAAATGAAAGAATGACTCTCACAGCTGAATGTCCAGCACATTAAGGGGTTGAGTGATTGCCATCCGGGAAAACAGATGTGGCCAAAGTATTTGCAAAGTAGTAACTCAAGGGGCAGGTGTTATGCTGCAGATTAAGCCAAAGCTTGGGACACCCACATTGCATAACAGAGTGCCTGGTTCAAGTCCTGGCTATTCCATGGTTCTGATCCAGCTTCCTGCTAATACTCCTCGAAGACAATGGATGGTGGCCCAAATATTCGCCACCCACCTGGGTGACCTAGACAGAGTTCTTGGCTCCTGGATTTGGCTTGGCCCAGCCCTAGCTGTTGCAGGCATTAGTGTGATAAACCAACAGATGGGAAATCTCTCTAATTCTGCCTTTTAAATAAATAAATAAATATTCTAAAAATATAGTAACTTGGGGCCGGCACTGTGGTGCAGAGGGTTAAAGCCCCAGCCTGCAGCACTGGCACCCCACATGGGCACTGGTTCGAGTCCTGGCTGCTCCACTTCCGATCCAGCTCTCTGCTGTGGCCTTGGAAAGCAGGAGATGGCCCAAGACTTGGGCCCCTGCACCCACATGAAGAAAGCTGCTGGCTCCTGGCTACGAATTGGCTCAGCTCTGGCCATTGCAGTCACTGGGGAGTGAACCAGCAGATGGAAGACCTCTCTCTCTCTCTGCCTCTACCTCTCTCTGTAACTCTTTCAAATAAATAAAATAAATCTTTAAAACAATTTTTAAAAATATAGTAACTTGAAAAATTCTGGATCTACTAAACCTGGACTTAATCAATGTTAATGGTT